ATTCTGGTGCCATGACATTCGAAGCTGGTGTAGGAATGCCCCCGCCACACAACCAATATGACCCCTGCTTGTGGCTTCAAAACCAGTGCCCAGAGACAGGCACCATCCCTCACTCACCACCCATGAGGCCACAGGTCCAGGTATGAAGAGCATGACAGCTGAGCATCAGCTATGGAAAGATCTGGAGCCCTGGAATCCACCAGATCTGACTTCATGTCTGGGAGGCAGAGTCAAACAACTGAACCTTCTCGAGGCTCAGTCTTCTCATCTGTAAACAGGGGGTAATGATAGCACCTTCCTTGGAAGTTCTCAGGACTCTTAACGGAGATGATGGACATAAAATGGAAAGTTCCAGGAGAAGCACGAAATAAAGGCAGTGGGACTAGAAGTGAGGCTTGGTGATGGCAGGGGCGGGAGGGGGGGCTGCCCTGAGTCCCTGCTTCCCATGACCCAGGGCCTGGGCAGCTCCAGGGAACACAGGCTTTCCAGCTGGGACCAGCTAGGAGGTCAACCCAGAACAAAGATGACGGTGCAGAGACCAGGGGATGGTGAGGAGAGAGGTTTGCAAGAATCCCAAGCTCCCCCCGGTTCCCGCGCATTCCAGAGACGCCCCATGAGTGAGCAGTTAGAGTTCCTGTGCGCCCAGAGAGGAGCTGCCAAGAGACAGGCCTTGGCGCGTTTCAGAGGCAGGAGGGGATTTGCCCCTGGAAGCCGGCTCCGGAGGGTGATAGACATCTCCTGGCCATCCGGGTGGTGGGTGGAGGTCTTTACCCTGGCCGCCCAGACCCTGGCTCCAGGGGACGTGGGAGTCCCAGGCCTGGGCTGGCTTGGGAAGTCAAATCCCAGGAGCAATGGAGGGACTCCAGAGAAAGAAGGCGTTATGTTGCTGGGGGGCAGGAGGGAGGGGAGAGGTTGGAGTTGAGATAAGCTTCTCTACGGGCCACGGAGCCTGGAGCCTGGAGTGGAAGGATGACAATGGGGGTATTTAGTGGGAATATCAAGGGCAAGGCAGTCAGGGGCCGCCGAGCTGTTACGGGAAACGAGAAGGAAGCCCAAGACTCTGAGGCCTCCTGTCCGCCTCTGAAGGCGGCTCTTCCTTCAAGGATCTCACACTCTTGGTGGTCAGGGACCCCCAGCCGTGCTACACCCCGTGTCCCATGCACACACAGGGCTGCCCTTTCCTCTGTCCCTGGCAGGACCGGCCCGTGACTGCTCACCCTGCAAGCTCACATACGTAGATGCAGATGTGGGCATAGATCTGATTATAAATAAGTGACCCATCCCTGTGTGACACAACAGAAGTTAGCAGAAGGTACAGAGCGAAAAGTGAGTCCCCTCCCACCCAGTTCTTCTTCCTAAAGCCTCACTGAGCTCAGTCTCTTATGTAACCCCCTAGAAAAAGCCTCTGCCTAGACAAGCAAATATATTTTTATGCTTCAGTGAAAAAGAACACAAATGGTGGCAGATTACATGTCCGTTCCATACCTTGCTTATTTTCACGTAACGGTAGTTCTCTAAAACCGTCCCAAGCCTGATGCTGTGGAAAGTCCTCGAGTTTGGAAGTGGGAGCATTTCTGTAGCCAGTACCGGCTTGATGGACATATAGGTCATTTTTGAGTGTTCTCTGTTACAAAACATAATGCCGCTATGAAGTGCTGTCCCTTCGCCCATGCACGGGTGTGTGTGTGAAGGAGAAGTCTTTAGAAGAGCTGGCGGATAGGGGAGGGGGAACGCATGTGTAGTTTTGATGGCCCCACCAGACTGCTCTCTGCAGAGCTGCAGTCCCACAAAGCCGTGTGCGCTCACTCCTGGGTCCCCACGGGCTGCCTGGCACCGGACGCTATCTCGCTTTCAGATCGTGGCCCAAGTGATAAGAAAAAACGCTATCTTACTGAGTCTCATTTGCCTTTCTCTTATCATGAGGTTCAGCATCTTTGTCTGTGTTTCGGAGTTATCTGTAATTCTTTTCTGTGAACCGTTCATATCCTTTGCCCATTTTTCCGTTGGTTTGCTCATGTTTTTCCTTACTGATTTATGGGAATATTTTTTATATCGGGAAAGTGAACTCTTTGTCCATGATAGAAGTTGCAGATATTTTCCCCGAGTTTGTCATTTGTTGCTCTCTTGTTTATGGGTATTTTTTTTCCATGTAGAATTTTTATATAGCTGAAGGTATCAATCTGTTTTATGACTTCCTGGAGTTTGTGTAGTACTTAGAAAGTACTTGGCAAATACCTCACCTCCTCGAGATTATATATTTTTAAACCTCTGTGACTTTTTTCTACTTCTTTTAGAATTTCATTTTTCATGCTTAAAACATTGATCCATCTAGCATTTATTTTGAGGAAAAGTGTGAGGAAGAGATTGAACTGTTTTTTTTTACCCCCAAATGGCTCCCTAGCTGTTTCAAAGTCGTTTGGCAAATAATTGATCATTTCCCCACTGCCTTGAAATTCTGCTTTCATCATATATTAAATAATCCCATATGTATTGGGGTCTATTTCTAGATTCTGAGTCTGTCATTTCATCAGACTATGTGTACGAGAATGCACTGTTTTAATTATTGCAACTTTATAATATAGTTCAGTATCTGGGCTAATCTTCTCTACCTACCATACTTTTTCAGAATTTCTTGGTTATTCTTTTGTTATTTTTTTAAATGTGAACTTTAGAATCACTTTGTCTAATTTTAAAAAATCTGTCTTTCGTGTGTGTGTGTGTTTTCAAAGTGAATATGGGTTGTTGTGTACAGTTATACAAGTTGTATACTGCACAAAGGAGCAGCTGGTGCCCGCCAACAGGGCATGAGCTCTTCTCTCCCGTAGTCTGCCCATCTGCACATACATTCAATGGTAACAGTAGCCACGGCTCCTGTAGTGTGTTCCAGGCGCTGTTCTAACCTCTTTATGTTTTTAAATTTATTTAATCTACACCACAAACATATCCCCCAATTTACAACTAGGAAATTAAAGTGCAAAAAGGTTGTAAGTAAGTTGCCCAAGGCCAATGATTTGTGTTACCCCCCGTGCATTCATGGCACAGAAACCTGTTCCTGCAGGTAAACACATACACAACGCACGCACCCACACACACACTTGAACACACAGACGCATAGATACACACATATGAAAACACACCTACACACATACACACACTCAGGGACATGTACACAACACGCACATGGGTACGCACACGCACACACACACACACACACACACACACGGCTGTCCCCTGCCCCAGTATCCTTTCCCTATCAGTGTCTTGCCCCCTAGAGCCCCCACATGCCCTGCTATGCCCTGCTTTTGGAAGACAGCAGGCCTATCAAGGAAAACCAGCTAGCTGGACTCCTGCCATTGCTCAGGGCCTAGTAGGGCCTCCCTCCCAAATCCTTGTATCAGATGGCGGGGGCGGGGCGGGGGGCACCACACGGCAGGCCCTGGGGGAGGGGAGCCTGAGCCCCTCCCAGGCCTCCTTGTGAGGATAGCGTGAGATGAGGGATGCAGGGATGCTCCGGGCTCGGTGGTACCCAGCAGGTTCTCTGGGGAAAGGGCAGCCCCGCCCTCCTCTTCCCAGCGTCATTATCTCGGCAGCTGTTGGAATCAGCCCATCCTTGCACGCATCGCTGGCCTCCTCCATGCTGGTGCCCGGAGAGCCGGAGATGAGCTGGCACATGCGGACCTGGGCGCAGGTTGCCCAGTGAGCCGCTGTACGGAGGAGAGGGGGTCTGGGTGCAGAGCGCGTGTGCACGTGTGCGTGTGCAAGCGCCCGCCCCGCCCACCCGCCCCTCTGATGTTCTGGCTCTGAGTCAGCCCTGCATCCCAGGGACTGAATCACTGGGGGCTGGGAGTGTTATTGTTTTAAAACAAACGGGTGATGACAGGAACTAACAGAGGGTTTTTAAAAATGAGATTCAAAGGGCTCTTGAAGCTGCTGGGGAATAGGAATGTGCCTTTGAAGTGCGAATGTGCCCATTTGTCAAATGGGGAGCAGAGCGGCTGCCTCAGCAGAGCGTGCTCCCAGCTCCCCGCAAATGGGTGCTTGCTGGCCTCTCTGCCCTCCGCTGCCACCAGAGGCGGGCGAAGGACCGGGGCCGGGGTGGGCGCTGCTCCCCCAGCCCACTCCCCAGAGAGGGCCTTCTGATGGGTTTTGTAAGGCGGTGAGCTCTGTGACTGTTATCAGAAGCCATGCAGAGGGTCAGGAGCAGGGATGGGGTGGGGTTCCAGGAAGACCCTCCCCAGTAGTCACAAGTTATCCACTCAGGAGATTGAGACCGGGCGTGTGGGGTGGGGGCGCGATGCAGTCCAGCCAGTTGACCGGGCCCCAGACGTACATCATGGGTGCTGAGTCGTCAGACTGTGCTTGGGGCCAGGGTGAGGCCTTGACATGAATGTGAAGCCGCCTGCAGACCACAGACGCCCGATTTTGGCCAAATCTGAGCGTTAGAGGACAGAAGGATCAAGCAGCCTGGTGGTGGAGGGGGCCCACCGGATGGACTCTGCCCTTGATGTCTTTGAGGGGCTCCCCCAGCCTCGGGGGCAGGACCCAGGATACCTGTCACCTGCCACTGTGTCAACCCACCCCCCTGTTTTCCTTGTGACATTTATATTCCCTTTGACTGAAGTGCAGCAGGTTCCTCCCCCTTCCTTCTGTCCTGGAGGGAGAAATCCAGAAGCACAGGGTATCCAGTGGATGGGGATCCAGAGGGGAGAGAGACAGAAAGTACCAGAAAGAGGGAAGGGGTGGCAGCAGAAGGAGTGAGCCTGGTGTGGTCTAGGAGGAGGGAGGCGGGGAACTGGTTGGTAGGCGTGGAGGAGTCACTCTGAAGATCAAGCTCTGAAGTCGGACCGACCCAAGTTCAAGTCCTCCCCGGCCACGTGACCTTGAGCAAGTGACCTGGATGCACCTGCTCTGTCTGCCCAGGGGCGTTAGGGCACTACGTGAGCAACCACCCGAAGGCGAGCAGGTGATAACTGGTGGCTTTGTGTGTCTGTTTCCCACAGATGACGTGGCCCCCTATTTCAAGACGGAGCCTGTGCGGACGCAGGTGCACCTGGAGGGGAACCGCCTGGTGCTCACGTGCATGGCCGAGGGCAGCTGGCCGCTGGAGTTCAAGTGGCTCCACAACAACAGAGAGCTGACCAAGTTCTCCCTGGAGTACAGGCAAGCCTTGCCTCCCCTCCTCTCCCCTCCCCTCTCCTCCCTCCTGGCTGCCAGGTGAACCAGGATGGGGGCCTGCCTGGCAGTTTGGGGGCAAGAGTTCCCATGCCAGCGCTCCTGGGAGGCTGGGGTGGTGGAAGTTGGGGGGCAAAGACAGCCCTGCCCGAGGAGTAAGAGGCCCCTGCCCTGCTGAGCCCAGCAGAGGATGTCTAGGGGGCGGGCCAGGGGTGCCCTGGACGGAGTAGACCATGCAACAGGGAACAGAGCAGAGGCGACGGTCGGGGTAGGGGACTCCACCACCAGCCGCTGGGCTGTGGTCGTGCCTGTGACCAGAGCCCCTCCTCCCCAACCCCTGAGAACTCTGCTATCTCCTGGGGGCACTGGAGGGGCCTGGGTCTGACACACGGGTGGGGGGCATGTGGCAACTTGGGTTCAGTGAGGGAATATCTTGTATTTGGGGGCAGTGCAGGTGTGATATGGAGGTGGCCTGCCCAGGGCCTTGGGGCTTGTCCCCACTCCATGTTCATGCCCATGCCCGGAGCTCTGGACTGGCCCTTCCCTCCCCAGAACACCACCAAGTGGGGAGAAAGCGGAGGAGGAATGGCACAGGGTCTCAGTGAAGCGCGTTGTTGCTGCTGGAAGCCTGAGCTACCCCCCAAGCCCGGCCGGGCCTCCAGCATTTTCCTCCTGGCAGTCCCTCCCTCCGGCTCCTATCTCCCATCTCATCTCTGCCTGTTTTTATTGGCTCCCAATCCTGTGGATGGTGATTAATCCCCAGGCCTGATGTGCATAATCGGGTTTGTTGGGGATACAAGATTGTCTTGCCCTGGGGATGTTGATACAGATCTGCGCCAGGGACCGGTAGGCAAATGAGAGGAGGGTGTTTAATTGCTTGAGGATCTGTCCTTTCTGGAGAACCATCCTTTTCTTAGCTGAGCGGGGAGGCCAGAGTTTGGGATGCCCCCCCATCCCCAGGCCCAGGTTCCTTGTGCCCCAACCCTGGACTGCATTGGCTGGTAGGTGTGGCCACTTTGTCAGAGAAGGGAACGGGAGGGTCCGGGACAGGAGGACCACCTTCCTCTCTAGATGGTGAGAGTCCAGGAAGCAGGAGGCCCTCCAGTGCTGGCCACTCTGGGGATTGGGTCTCCAGGGAGCCCACGAGGGAGACTAGGGGTGCCCCCGTGAGCAGCCCCTATGGCAGTTTTCAGTTGGGGGCCCAGAGCTCTCCTAGCTGCTGCCTGGCGTCCCTCGGGCAGTTTTGACAGCCTCCGTGAAGAGCCCCGCATCCTTTGGATGGGGGACATGCCTGCATGGGGACGCCGGGAGCATGTAGAGCACACCACAGGTGTAAGTGGTGTCAGGGCCTCCCAGCCTGCCCCTGACTTCTGCCTGCAGGGAGCCGGGCCAGGATCCGGGAGGAGGAGGAGGAGGGTTGGTTCTTCATCATTCAGTCCTGCCAGCAACCCTATGAGTAGGTTCAATTAGTTGTCCCATTTGACAGACGGGCAGACTGCAGTTCAGAGACATTAAACACTTCACCCAAGGTCAGATTGTTGAGCTGGGCTTCAAATACAAGTCGTCTGGCTCCAGGGCTGGAAATCCTTTACATCCAGCGTCTCATCAAGGAAGGACCACTTCCTTAATATGCATCCCAAGCAACCTCCGCTCACCGTGCTCTGCGGGTTCTAGAAAACAGAGCAGAGTGGGGAATGCAGACACCGTTGACCCTTGAACAACATGGGTTGAGCTGCATGGGTCCGCTGACATGGGGCTGTTTTTGATAAATACAGAACGGCGCCATAAATGTGTTTTCTCTTCCTTATGGCTTTCTTAATAACATTTTCTTTTCTCTAGCCTACTTTCTTGGAAGAATACAGTACGTAATGCATATAACATAGAAAATCCGTGAGAACTGACTGGTTATGGTCCCGGTCAGGCTTCTGGTCAACAGTAGGCTATTAGTAGTTAAGTTTGGGGAGTCCAAAGTCATACATGGATTTTCGACCACATGGGGGTCGGCACCTGGCTCTTTAGGTTACTCAAAGGTCAGTTGGGTGGTTGGGTGGCAATTTCAGGGGGACACAAAGAAGCTTCCACTGGGGAAACTCCTCTCCCTACACTGCCTTCAGAGCTCTTTAGGGTTGCTCCTGATGGCACGCACCTTACCCCCTGCTGCTCCCATCTGAGGTGATACACCGAGACCAAACAGGACCCTCCCATCCTAGGCCCCATGGCAGCCCCCTGCCCGTGCCCTCTGCACTGCCTTTGTTCAAACCATCCTGTCCCCTCTACTTGCAATATTGAGTCTTCTAGAACCTTCTTTCTCTCTCCTGCAGGATCCCAGCTCCTTCAGAAAGCCTTTCCTCATAGTACACACGTGTGTTCTCAATCAATATCTCTCTGTCTCTGTCTCACAACACGTACACACTCACGTCTGCCTCTCTCTGCCCTTTGTGATCGTCCACAATACATCCCATTATACCTTTTGCCTTCTCACCATTTATACATAATGCTACAAGTAAGCCACAGACTGAGGTCAGGGCTTCAGGAGCCTTGGCATTTCCGGGGGTCTCGGGGCTCAGAACTAAGAACTTGGTTCTGCCGGGCGCTCTGTCTCCCCTGGGCTGCTCAGCGGCACCACCTCTGGGTGCAGACTTCATTCTCATGTGGTTAGTGACACTGAGAAGTTTGCGGTCACAGGCTTACAGTCCCATGATTTCAGGGCAGAAGGAGCGTCCCTGGAAGTTCCACGTGGGAAGCCCTGGGGAAAGATTCTGATCGATCCAGCTTGGGTCATCCCACTTATTTTTGCTAAGTTATTTAAGAATTTGCAGACATCATGTCACTTCACCCCTAAGTAGAATTTCCCAAGAACAAGGCATTCTCCTACAGAACCACACCACAATGTTCACGCTGGGGAAATGTCCCATCGATATGGTACCTCTGTCTCATATGCGGCCCATATTCACATATCTCTGTCCCAGTGATGTTCTTTGTAGCTATTTTTACTATTGTTTGATACAAGATCTAATCAAGGACTGCACAGTAAACTTAGTTGTCAGGACTCTTGGACTCCTTCAATCTAGAACCATCCCTCATTTTTCTCCCATCTTTCATGGCATTGACATTTCTGAGACCTCAGCCAGCTTTGCAGAATGTCCCCCAGTATAGATTTGTCCAGTTCTAGCCTCATGATTAGACTCATGTTAAACCTTTTGGGCAAGAGTATTACCCAGATGTGTGTCCTTCTCAGCGCTTCGTACATGAAGGCACTCAGTATCATCTTGCCCCATTATTGGTGATTTGGGTTTGATGAATTGGTGCACCAGATTTCTCCATTGTCAAGGTATGGAGATATCCCCTTGCCTTTCGGGGATAACTGGAAACTGTGAATAGTCTCCTCCCCAGGAATCCCTCACCCGGTGGTTGAGTATCCATGGATGAGTCTAACCTGAATCCATTATTACCATTGTGGTGGTGATAAGCAGATTTTCTACTTCTATCATTTTTTTTTTACTTATATTTGTCATTCTTTTGTAAAAAAGATCTTCCCTTTCTCATCTTCTTTAAAATAATATAGCATCAGTATGAACTGATGGATAATTTTTCCTATTCAATATGTCTTGATCTATCCCTGTCGTTATTCATTTTGATGCTCAGTAGTAACCCATAATTGGCCAGTGGAGCTTCTTCTAGCTGCATCCTGGGTCTTTTGGACATGTCCCCCCCGGATTTCCAGCACTCTCTTGCTTTTTGGCTCAATAAAATGTTCCAGATTTACCTTTGAAATACATGCACACCAAAAATTGCATCCCAGAGGAGGGTGGCCAGCTTCTCATCCCGTGGTTCTCTGAGCACTGCTTTCTACTTCCTAGTCTCTTGCAAACCCCAGGCTCTGAGTTGGGTGATAATATCCAATTTTCAGGCAAAAAGATGGCTGAATTTACTCAGCAAGTCAAGAGAAAATAAGATTCGAAGTGCCACCATAAATTTCACTGTTTCCTACCCCGTCTCCAAAGGAAGAAGTTTGCATTCACATCCAGTCTCCACTGGCCTTTATTCTCAGTGGGATCTGTAGCCAAATGGGCGTGACGCACGCACACACACGTGTGTGTGTGTGCACGCGCGCGTGTAACATCTACACAGAGGGAAGCCTGTGCATCCTTCTGAGCATGAGTGTCTGGGATGAGTCTGTGGGGCCACATCCATCCCGGGGGGCAGAGTACAAATAGCCATGGACTTCGGAGTTAGGGCCACCTGAATATAATCACGCTCCTACCACTTCCTGGCTCTGTGACCTTGGGCAGAATTAGCCACCGTGCACTTGTTTTCTTTTCTTGGAATCAGGCACGTGCCTACTTTAGAAGGTTACAGTAAGAATTAAATGAGATTCTATGGGACGAGGCCCGTCGCTGATGTCATGGAATAGATGGCACCTGCTAGGATTATACGGGGTGTTTGTCTCGACAGAATAACAGCACAGGTCTGGTAACAAACCCACCAGATCTCGCGTGCAAGCGAGCACATCTCCGAGGTGGTCGCGGGGACCCTCTACACCCATTCCAATGCCACTGTTATGGTCCGGGACCCTTCTTAGAACTCTTTTTGTCTTATCAAGTGCTGTGAGAGCCCCTTGTTGGTGACCTATCTTACCTGTTTTGAAACCAGCCTTGAACCCCCAGTTTGAGAAATAAAGTGGCTGTAACAGTTTACAGGCTGTAAAGTGGGGGGTACCACTTGGGTACAAAGCACTATCGGACTCTAAGGAAATGAGATCTCTTTTCCCATGTGGGTGGGACAATGCATGGGAAGACCCTCCCAAAGCTTTGGGCGCCATCCCCCTGCCCACTTCTGTCAGTAGAACAGGTGCACGGCTTCCCACAGTGACTCTCGGAGTGTGTGTTAGGGGTGGGTGGGAGGGGTGGGAGGAAGCTGAACACAATACTCAGTTGGAGGCCTAAGGTCTAATGTGTTTGTTAACCTCTGTGCATGAGTGTGCGCAT